AGGAAAGGGTCCTGGCCTGAGCCTGGAGGGTGGGCTCTGCAGCTGTCTTGACCCCCAGCCCTGTTGCTGGCGCACTCTGAGACTCACTGCTGCACTGACCCTTCTCCTGTACTGGTCCTTTTCTTCTCTCCAGATCCTGAACTTTACCTCATGGCCTCCATCAGCCTTCTCTCCTTTAGACTCCAGATCCCCACCTACCCTTTGACCTAGATCATTCATTGACTAGTCACCATCTGAATTTGGTGGCACTGGGGCTGGAGAGGGAGGCACCTGGACTCCTTCACCTGGGGGTGGAGTAGGCATGTGGATCTTTTTGTTTTCTTTGGGCTTCTCATTGGTGCATTTCTAACCTCAAAACTCTGGCATGTCACCTCCTGCCTCAGCCTTGCCTCTGACCTGGTCTGTAGTCAAGTACTGTGTTCTGATTCCTTGCAGAATCCAGACCATGACCCAAAGCGGGCAGGGTGGGGAGGCCTGGTGGAACCCCCCGACCCTGGGAAGTGAGGGGTGTGCCAGCATTCTCAGTGGGGGCAGCGGGTGTCTCCCACAGGATGCTGCCTGACCCTGTTCTATGACCTCTCGCACCACAGACCTTGCACAGCTGCGCAAGAAGTTCGAAGAGGACAAGCAGAGGATTGAGCTGATGCGGGCCCAGCGCAAATTCCGACCCTACTGAGCCTGCCAGGCTGTGACTCGGAGTGCAGGGCCTGGCCAGTGAGGACACGGGGCCTGCTGGCCTGAGGTTGTGCTCTGTAAAGCAAGACAGTAGGCCAAAGGGCCACTGTGTCCTGCGGCCTGGCCCCATCAGGTCTGCATGGGCTGGAAGCAAAGGACAGGCTCACCCCGGGTCCCTGTGCTGAAGCATGTTGGAGCACAGCAGGAAGATGTGGCCCTCAGAAGTGGTTCCTGCCTGTCAGGAAAACAAGTAACTGCTTGTGTCTCCCCTTCTCAACGGAACCCCCTGCTGGCCATGGAACAGCCTCGAAGGCAGGGAGAAAGGCGAGAACATTTTATTTTGTATCCAGGCTGGCAGTGGAGAAGGCTTCAGAAGCCACCAAATGACAGGCAAGCTTCCTTCTGCCTGTAGCAGCTCACTACAGGTCATTAACTACAAAACGGACACCCTAAGTCTAAATGCTGTCCCCCTGAAGTCTCAGATGTTAATGTCAGAATCTTGCCCCTTCCCCCACCTCCTTCACAGGATTCTCTCCTGTTCATCTTGGTTTTCAGTAAGGCCTGTTGCCACCATGCCAGCCACGTGGAGGCTGACTGGCGTGAGCGTGAGATGTCCGTAGCCCAGGCCCAGGCTACAGCTGGGCCGGGATCCTGCGTTTGCTCTGTAAAAAGGGGCTGACGACATTGGCCACGAGGTGGGGAGCATTCATGTGGACATAATGGTTGCCGGGGATTTGTACAAACTGGAACCGCTGGAGGAAGGGAGGGTCGTGAGGTGTGGCCAAAGGAAGCGGCAGTGCCCACCTGTGGCCATTGAGCCCAGGAACTCAATTGTGCCCTCCCTTGGCCTGCTGCTTCCCAGTGGGCCAGGCACTCCCTGGGATTCCAGTGTTCCCAGCATGCTGGGGCTCCTCAGACCCTAGGGACTCAGGCCACCTGGGTTGAGGACCATCTGAGTTGTGAAGCTGTAGCACTGAGTGGGGGAGGCCTCTGTCAGGGTTGCCGGTGATCCTGACAGACAGGTCCCCTGGAGGAGTGAGGTCATAGCACCGGCAAGTCCCTGAGGGAAAGCCGACCAGGGAGGCCTGGCCACAGCTCTCACCTGCCACCCATGGGAGGGCTGCCCTTTTGTGAGGGGGTACAGGTGCCCCAGACTCAGGTATTTGTGTGGATAATGATCACAAAGTGCTGGTGCTCCCAGGGGTCCCCACCCCCAGCTAGCACACCCACTACCAGGTCTAGTGGGAGGCGAGTGGGGCTGTGGCAGATGGGCCGAGTTGTGCCTGACCCAGGGGACACATGTGAGAACAATAAAACTAGAAGATTGTGCTAATGAAAGGCCTCTTGCCTGAACTTGGACTGACCACAGTGGGGATTGAGACCACTAGATCCTCAGGACACGTGGGCCTAGGCAGGTGAGCATGGCCTGGACACCAGCTCGCCGAGCCTGCACGTTGCCTTTTTTTTTTTTTTTTTAAGGTAGTAGCATTTGAACCAGGGATGCACTGCTTCCCATAGTGCTCTCTGCCCTCCTGTCTCCAGGCTTCAGAGCTATATCCTCAGTCCTTTTTTGAGACAGTCTCGCTAAGTTGCTCAGGCTAGCTTTGAACTTGTGATTTGCTTCAGCCTCACAAGCTGCGGGGATTGGTGGTATGCACCACAGTGCCCAGCTGTTACCTCTTTTAGGATGGATCTCATCGTGTCCAGCATAAACATCAAGGTCTCCGTGTTGGCATCATTCTCCCGTCTCACATCACTATATCCTTGTGCTGCCCTGGAAGCAAGAAGAAATGGGTTCCCCCTTGGACCCTGCCTCCCAGCAATGCCTTAGAAAACACCAGGTCTGGGCAAACTGCTACCTCTGACTTTCCCACAGCTGGTTCCCTTTAAGCTTAGATTTATTGAGCACAGTCATTCAGTATGAGCCACAGGCCAGACTGACTTGGGGAGGGGGGTCAAGGTTACAGGACTGCCCAGGGTCACAGCCACCGAATGCTGGGGCTGGATATTGAGCTTAAGTGCTTTACTACTGGGCTACATCTGCACCCCTTTTTATTTTTAGACAGGGTCTTGCCAAGTTGCTGCAGCTGGCCTGAAAGTTGTGATCCTCCTGCCTTAGCCTCCTGGTCACTAGGATTACAGGAGTATGCCACTGTGTCCACCTGAGGTCAGGCTTTGCTTTATTTTTTAAGATTTGTTGAGCTACAACATACCCACCATACAGTCATCCTATTGAAAATGTATCACTTAATGGCTTTAGTACAGATTCTCCTCAGTGCATGGTGGGGTTATGTCCCTATGGCTCCATGGCAGGTGGAAAATGCCTCAGATTACGCCAAGCCTGCCAAACACCCAAGCACTGTAGGTGCTGCCAGTTTCCCTGTGATCTCGGGCCTACTGGGTGCTGCCACTGCCCAGTGTCGGGAGAATGAGGTCGCGTGTCAGGAAAAGTACAGAGTCCAAGTGCTGTTTCTACTTGTGCACCAACGGAAAGTCAAAGCCTCCAAAGAACCTCTGCACTTCAGGTTTCCCCAGGAAGACCGCACACCTTCCCACAGGTGTCTGGGGAAGCTGACTTATGATGGGGGTGGCTGGTGCCAACCACTGAAGGGTGGTGGGTCCGACTTACTTGACAAGCAGGACGCGGGCCTGCAGCTGCTGGATGGAGTGTGTGAACAGCTCCCTGCTGACGAAGTCAAAGCTGTACTGCGGCTGTGGGGACAAAGCCAGGGTGAATCCTTGTGGCAAGGAGCCCTGCAGTCCTGGTCCTGGTGAGGTCACCTCAGCACCTGCTCCAGACCAAGCCCAGCCCCACCATGGCACCTCTGCCAGGCCTCCCGCTTTCCCACATCTGTTCTTGTCTCCTCCCTGGCTCATGGCTGCCGGCCAGACTGTTGCCTGAGCCCTTTTCAGCTGTGTGGCCATTTGACAGGGTACTTCTGGACCTAGACCTTAGAACTGAGGTGTGGTCCTCACAGCCCCCTTCTTACTACACAGGCTGCCCTGTACCTTGTCTCCTGGACACCAGACAGAGCCCCGGACCTTCATGAGACCTCTCCACGAGAAAGGAACTTGCTTGGATCACAGTGCAGAGTGGCTTCCACCACAGCCCTGACCATCCTGTCATGACCACTGAGTGTGTCTAGGCTGCGCTGTCCAGTGCTGTGACTCAATAGTCCTAGGGCTATTGAGGTGCCCTGTCATTGTGAAATGCTGCTGGGTTTGGGACTCAACTGGAAAAATAACAGTCAACTTTGATGTCAATCATGTCTTGAAATGACAGCATCTTGGATGAGTTAAATAAAAATATTACAGTTGGTCTGGAGCAGGTAGCTCTGTGGAATAGAGCTTGCCTAGTAAGTGCTAGCCCTCTGCTTGGTCCCCAGAACCACAATTAATTTGCCTGCTTTCTTTGTTTTTAGAGAGAGAATTTTTTAATATTTATTTTTTAGTTTTCAGTGGACACAACATCTTTATTTCATTTTTATGTGGTGCTGAGGATCGAACCCAGAGCCACGCGCATGCCAGGCAAGCGCGCTTCCGCTTGAGTCACAACCCCAGCCCTGCTTTCTTTTTACTCTTAGGGCTTCTAGAAAATTTTATTGCATGAGGCTCACCACTGGCCTAGCACTCTAGTCTGAGAACTCTCAGAGACAGGAGCTCTCAAATTTTGTCCATGTTTGTACCTCTCAGCATGTGGTGACAGAGAAGTACAGGTGCGTAAGAAAGCTCCCTTGAGGACTGATTGCAGTAAGCCTTCCTTAAGGTTCTTCACCACCGCAATGAATGTAAAATCCCTCTGGGGACTGTGGGTGTCGCTCAGTGGTGGAGCCCTTGCCCAGCATGTACAAGGCCCTGCGTTCCAGCCCCAGCACCACATAAAAGGGGAAAAAAATCCTGAGGATTTGGTCATGGCCACAAAAAACTCTGTCCTGAGGCTCTTCCATCCATTTCCTGCTTTTCATGACTAAAACGACCTCTGGTGCTTTTCCCAAAGCAGGTTTCCACATCTTACACAAGGCCCACACTCTTGTGGACTTGAGTCCCAGCGGCTGTGACCAGGCACTGGGGGGGTGTTGCTGAGGCAAACATTAAAGCCAGCGCTTTCCAGAAGGCAGGCTAGATCCCAGAGGCCAGGAACTTGGTCACAGCTGACAGCTAACAGGAGATGGCGCCAGGACTCAAGCTCAGCACTCAAGCTCAGGCGGGGGCTGGGCCTCTCTAACACTCCTGTTCTTGCCAAGATTGGGGCTGTCTAGCTCCAGGGCACAGTGAGGCCCTCCCTGAATTTAACTTGATCTCCCAGGGAGGGATGGAGGGACATTCTCTCCACTCCTGTCTCTGGAGGTGGGAGCAACACAGGCTTACGTTTCTGCAGCAGTTTCCCAACCAGCAACAGGCCCTTTCTCCAAGAGAGCATCTGCGGCCAGGGGGCTGCTGGGTGTATCGTTTCCCTTTCTGTCTCTTCCCTCTCTCTTCCTCCACACCTCTTTTTAGATTTTGTTAGCTTCATTTCCTGATCAGTTTTTAAAAATAATTAAAGTATAACCTATAGCAAAGCCCAGGCTGGACAGTCAGCTCCTGATGGCCTTTCACTGTGTACATACACATGTAACCTTGACTCGGCCAAGACAATGGGCCCTTGCCCTCCAACTTGCTCCAGGGCTTTTCTTCAAGGAGAGCACTACTCTGGCCTCCAGCCCTGTGGGTTGATTTTTCAAGTAGAGTCACCTTTTGTTGCTGGCTCCTTTCACTCTGCAACCATTTATGTAAACATAACAGAAAGCCCTAAAACAGGAATGAAACAACACAGGACATGGAGCCTGTATGTGACTGGGCCAACATCAGGCAGCCATCGTTTTGCTTGGGAACCTAGAAGATGGTGATGTGTCATTTGAGACAGAAAATAAATGAGGTCTAGGAGCATAGCACATGCCTGTAGTCCCAGCAACTCAGGAGACTGAGGAGGATTATAAATTGCCAGCCTCAGCAACTTAGTGAGAACCTGTCTCAAAATAAAAAGGCTGGGGTATAACTCAGTGGTACACTGCTCGCCTAGCATGAGCAAGGCTCTGGGTTCAATGCCCGGCACTGCAAGAAAAAAAAAAGCTAGGGGCAGGGTAGGCGAAGGAACCTACTAAGAAAAGTATAATTATGGACATGTCACACTTCAGAATCTTCTGAAACATTTGGAAAAACTATTTAGAAAAGTGGTTCAGATACATCAAAGATCTAAACTTAAGAGCTGAAACTATAGAACTTACTTAGAAGGAAACATTGAGGACTGGGGATGTAGCTCGGTTGGTAGAGTACTTGCCTTGCATGCACAAGGCCCTGTGTTCGATCTCCAGCACCCACACTCTCCCCCAAAAAAGAAGAAGAAAATAAGAAAATCCTTCATGATACTGTATTTGGCAATGCTGCTATGGACATGATATCAAAAGCACAGATGATAACAAAAATAAATTGGACTTCATCAAATCAGATGGGGCTGGATATGTGGCTTGATGGTAGAGCCCTTGCCTAGCATGTGTGAGGCCCTGGGTTCAATGCCAGTACACTCCCCCCCCCAAAAAAAAATTAGAGCCATGCACAGTTGTGTGTGCCTCTAATATGAGCAGCTTAAGAGACTGGGGCAGGAAGATCAAAGCCAGCCTCAGCAACTTAGCAAGGCTGAAGCAACTTAGTAAGACCCTGTCTCTAAATAAAATACACAGGGGCTGGGGATGTGGCTCAAG